ATATGTGTCTTCTTCCTCTCACACTTTCCTAGTTTCCTTCTTCATTGTTTTGTCTTTCACTATGACCTGCTACAGATTCCTCACACAACTCCACATTCAGTCATGTTGGGTGTTTATTTATTAATTTTAATTTCTTGTTAAGCATAGTGTGATCGACTACTAACCTTGTTAAAATGCATTCTTATTCTGTGTTTCATTTTATTATTCTCACTTATCCTGCTTTTGTTGCGTTTCCCATATTCTTTCCATTAATGGTTTAATATAATATAATATAATATAATATAATATAATATAATATAATATAATATAATATAATATAATATAATATAATATAATATAATATAATATAATATTATTTCTTGATAAGCTTTAATGATTGCTTTTACATTTTATTTACTTAATGAGATACAATACCCATCATCCATCTCCCCCATAGTCTATCAGCTTCTTCATTGCCTCTTTTTCCTCTGTGAGCTGGTATCCACAAAAATATAACCACGATGTTTGTATTTTAAAACCTATGTAGATGTTTGAATATCTCATTCATTAATTCTTTTCAACCATTAGGTGTTTGTGACTGTAAAGAATTTAATGCAGGACATGAGTCCTCTATCCTCTCTATGAGCTCTCTATCCATTGTAATGTTTTAATTGGCAACAATTCTACCGTGAAAACTGATAAATGATCTGATGTTTCTCAGAAATGTTTAATAACAGGATAATGAAAGTTTTCTTAGAACTGGCAGTAAAAATTTAAATGTGTGTTATACAGCTTAATTGTATCGTTTGAACATTGTCCATAATATACCCTTGTCACATTGTTCCCTTCTTCCAGGTTTCTCAGCAGCAGAATTTGCAGTTGTGGAAACTTAATATACAGTGAATGAGAGGGTACAACAAATATTTTGTTTACAATCCTATTTGCTGTAATAATAAAATAAAACCACAACAATGGTGTTATCAAGAAAAAGGAAAAAACAAAAGGAAAAAAGTGTGTGAGACTGATGATAGCCAGAAGGGAGAACAACATCAAGTTTACTGCCCTGTCCATTGACACTGCATTAGAAACGCCTTACACAAGCGGTAATTCATTTTTTTGTAATTTGATAGAAATATGTTATAATACAATCATAAAAACATATAGATATACATATATATATATATATATATATATATATATATATATATATATATATATATATATATATATTTTTTTTTTTTTTATTCAAGTATTTAAGATGCTGATGACCATTAAATGTGTCATAACAGTCTTGTGAAAAGGGTCCATATTGCCTGCATGCGTCTTTGTTTGTTTTCAATAATTCTAAGTATAAAGGTCCGCAATTGCTGCAGGTAACCAATAGTATCTGCATGCAGCCTCTCCAGGTAACAGCCACTGAGGAGTTATTGTTCACCATGGTCTTATATGCATGGTGTTTAAAAATGAGTAAGTCAAACAAAAAGATCAGTACAACCAGGAGCATAACAATACATTTTTGATGGAATTTACAGAATGCTTGTTTAAATGTACAAATTCATCTTGCGTTTTTCTAGAAATCCAGAGAGTGGTGAAAAAATTATAGGTATCACGTGACATCAATGTTGGATGCATCTCAACAAAGTCCTTTTAAGGCAAGTCATTTCACTTGGTGAGTCAGTGGCCATCTTTGAAACACCTCTTGGGCAGTATGCTCAGGCCTTTTCTTTTAATGGGGGAACATCAAATTCTCCAAAGCAGTTTGTTAAGCTTCCGAATAAATTTCGTATGTGGAATCATCAATAAAATTAAACTACAACTGCCTCTTAAGTTTAGCTTCTAAACTTTTTAATAATACAAAATCTGTATTTTTTTAGTTTTCCCAATTTAATGTGCACTAAGTCAATTTTTCTGTGTTTTTTAATGTGTTTTGGCGCAAACTAGTGTAATGATGGCAAGCCATCTTTCCCAGACTCGGGGCAAAGTCCGCCTCTCCTTTCACTCCGCCCCGAAGCCCCAGTTGGCCCTCCTTGGCCCAAGGTATTCGGCGGGCTGAAAAAGGCCGGCAGCTGGCCCCAAGAAAGCCCCACTTTGGCCCGATTAGGCCCTGGAAGTGACAGTGGAAACGCGACTGGCCTTGGCTCGCACTGGCTCGCTCACTTTAGGCACGATAGTGGAAACGCGACTAGAGATCACAATACCAACCACTGAATAATACCTCACCTGATTACACTGGCCTTCTGAACTACAACCCCAGATCAGAAAAAAGTTGTAACAGTATGGAAAATGCAAATAAAAAAAGAAAGTAGTGTTTTTTAAATTTACTTTGATTTGTAGTGTATTGCAGACAAAACAAAAAACTCTATTTATTGTGTTCCTCATGACTTTTCATGTCATTGTATAGCAGTGGTTTGTTCTGTAGACCAGGGCTATTCAATTAGTTTTTCATGGGGGCATGGTTCATGAAAAGCATCCCAAACGAAGGGCCAGAGGGAAATGACTTGCTTTATGAGTGATAACATAACTGCATATAGGAGCCCATATGCTGTATTTTCCTTAGGACACCCACGTTGGCTTTTTCTACAATAAAATGTTAACATGTTGTATTTTGAAACTACTTAAAATCAGTGCATTGTACAATAGACTTCTTCTTTTTTTTTTTTTTTTTTTTTTTTTTTTTACAAACATTCAAATGTTGTATTTCTGAGCACAACAAAATTATTGCATTGCTAAAGTAGACTTTTCTACATTCAGACATTCAGACACATTCAAATGTTATTTTTTGAACTGCATAACTATTAGGGATGCAACAATTATAGATTTTGGTTGTACGATTATATAGTCTAAAGAATAATCATGGTTTCACGGTTATCACGTCTAAGGTAAATTCAAGCTTTATATTAGGCAAGTAGCTATTTAGATTAACTGTTATTGCATCTGCGTTTATGCATAATCATTTTAATAATAATTTGTCTAACATATCTTTTGTTTACATTGCACTGAAAGGCACGCACAACTCTCACAGTGAGATGTTTTATACTGTGTGCACCCAGAAAGACGCAAGCGCATCCGTTTCTCCGCTTGTGCGCGCATATTGTCATATATTCTTACATTAAACAAACTTGCAAGGGGAGAAGACATGATATGGGAATGGCTGCTGTTATAGTAAAAATAGAGCACAGTTGGCAACTTGGCATAACTTTCTTTAATTGCAGCAGGTTCGTTTTGTTCTGTGCAACAGAAATGCGGCTTAGAGAAGCCTTTATGATTAGTTAACTGTGTCAAATTAAAGCGCAGTTATTATAGTGAAATCGGCTAATTGTTGCATCCCTATTGACGATGTCAATGTATACTGTAGTACAAAAGGCCTTTTCTACAAACACATCCAAATGTTTTCGGCTGCCCGCGCCACTTGCCTATGCTTTAACTGCAGCTTATGCTGTATTGAACAGACGCACGTCACTTCATAACAATAGCAGCCATTTTTCGACTGAACTAAATTTATTTTTGATGTCTTGGTCACACTATTTGGAGGGCCGGAACAAATTGCCTCAGTGGCTGGGTTAAGAAGAACTGCTGTATAAAAATTATATATATATGTATATATATAAATATTATAGGAAATACTGTAAACATCATTTGGGAAATATAAAAAAACAAGAGAGAGAAAAATAAATAAATTATATATATATATATATATATATATATATATATATATATATATATATATATATATATATATATATATATATATATATATATATATATATATATATATATATATATCTTGCAGAATAGTGGCCAGGTCACTAATTGATGCTGGTGGAGGAATCCGTTTCCTAACTGCTCTTTCAAAACACCCTAAAGTGGCTCAATAATATTTAGTTCTGGTGACTTTGCAGGCCATGGGAGAAGTTTAACTTGACTTTCCTGTTATCAATTCATACTGATAACGTGGATCTCCCTAAAGTTTTGGTGGAAACAAGAGTTGAAATGCACATTTAATTCTGTAGTGAGTTGGGCAGTTGTGGTTTTATTGTTTTGGATGACAATTCGGGTACAATTTGGGAGACAACTACCTCTTGCATCCTCAGTTATTCCTTTTGAATGTGGTACATCCTTATTGGTGGTATGCTCAAATCCTCCTGCTTACCATGTTTTTTGATACACTAGAAAGACTAGCTATCTTGGACACAGATATGCCAACAATATGTGCACCAACAATTTGTCCTCTTTTAAACTCTGATATGTCATCAATGTTGTGTGCATTGTAATATTTAAAGCAAAACTGTTCTATTACGCAGCTAATTAAACCTTTACACCCTGCTTTTACTGGTGGAATAGACAATCAATGATTGGCCTCCCGGCTGGTCGAACTTAGCCATGAAAAACACTAAATTGGTCACTGTTTAAGTTTCATTGTCCAACCCCTGTATATATTAAAGCCCTTTATGAAATTATATTTTACACATATAGCCAAAACTGAAACTTCTTCCATTTGTTTTAATTTTAACAATTCACTGTATGTCTTGAAATGTAAATGAAATCTAGGCTTTTCTATATACAATTACTGCACAGAATTACTTATTGAAAGTTACAAACAGTATTTGCTTTCCATGTCTTCTTTGTCACATAAAAAGTTCTTCCTTATGTTTGTGGTGTTTGTGTTTCCTGTATTTTCTTTTATGGAAAGTCTTGTTAGTTTGGCTTGAATTAAACTATTTTAATATATTTTTCTTAAACAATTTTAAATTTCAACATTATAAGCCCAAATATTATTAGCCCATAAATGTTTTTAGAACACACCATGGTCATCCAATAACATGCCTAATTACCTTAACTTGCCTAGTTAACCCAATTCATACTTGAGATTTTTTTAAATAAAATTCCACAGAAGGGCTAATAGATTTGACTTCAACCTAATCAACCATGTTGAAAATAAAACAGGAGGTGGCGCTATGTTCCCTTTAGTTAGTGCAAAAAACGCAGCCCATCCTACAAAGAAGAAGACAATGTTTTTACCCTTTTGGTTCACCAGTCCCATGTTGCTAGGAAACCGTTGTGAAACAATTCAATGCATTTTCATTTGTGGCGAAAATTACGCGTTCCCAAATAATGGTAAGAAAATCTTAAAACTTTTTGAAATTTTGTGTTTTATGTATTTCTTATGTTGTTAACTTGTGTTATAAATTTAGTGTTATTTTTTCAGTTTTTAAATGTTAGCTCATCGATAAACACTAACGTTAAGCCAAAATGTGTTATAATGTGTTAACGTTAATTGCAAATGGTAACTTAGTTAATCTACCAAATCTAACGTATTTCTTATCGTTTATTGACTAGCAACATTACATTCTAACGATACTGTGCTGTTTGTAATAGATGCAGAGATCTCATCTTGATCGAATGTAACGTTAGCCTGTTTAGCGTTAACTTATCACTTCATATTTCAGCCACCAAAAAGAAAATCGTCGCCGAAGGGCAAAACTCCAACAGTAGTGGACGGCTTGTCCACAGAGGAGATGTCAAAAGAGCAGGTATTTTGTCGGTAACGTTAGATAGTAACCACAGATCTGCAATAGTCACCCATTTCCACTAAAATGTCCTTGTCAGCCAGTTCACCCTAATTTAATAGTAAGTTAGCTTAAAATAATATTATGGCGATGATGATCAGGGATGGGCAAAAATACATTGAATTGTATTTTAAAATAAAATACCAAAATACATCAATTTGAAATCTATCAAAATAAACTACAAAATACTGCAGCCACAACAATGCAGTATTTTGTATTTTGAATATACTACAAAGTACTTTTACAAGGGAGTATAACATTTCTTCTCAACCCTTCAATCAATAGGCTTATTCGGTCAATCTCTTCACCATTTTACTGACTTAGTGAAGTAAACAAGATTTGACAGGTATTAATAATCCTTGTTTCTCTTTCATTTTAGTATACATTTGTACAAATTTTATACACAAAGTCCTGTCTTGAATATGTTCTCTTTAATCACTGTAAAAGCCATGTAAGATAATGAGTTGGAATATATCCAATCATATAAAGTTCATCTGTCTGAACATATTTGTCATATTTGCTTGTCATACCCATCATATTTGCTTGTCAAAGGTATGTAACTGCATACCTCTATACACCCAGTTTGCACAGGAAGGATTATATTATCGGTGCGTTTATGGGAAAATCTTTATTGTGCTTCCATCTATTGCCTGGCTAGTGAAACTGCAACAATCTCTTAACAGTCTCATATTTCAAAACGTATATGATCTATGAAGAGGTTATTTGATTTTTTTGTTCACACCATGTTTTTAAATACATCTATTTTTATTGAAATCTTCAATGCTTAATATAAAACATAATTTCTGAACAACTACTAAAATCTTCAGTTTTTTTGCAATTGTTCTCTTCAGTGCACACCATCTTCAAAAAATTGAGTTATCTGTTTTTGCAAAGTGTGGAGTCTAGAGTTTTTGGCCAATCTGTATACTAGAGTATTACATTTCTGTGACTTATATACTGTATTCTGCCACTTTGACATCTTTAGACAGACATCTTTCCTATTCATTACCAGTAAAGAGCACCGGCAGATTAGCTACTTTCATTTAAAACAGCCAATGAAGTATAGGTATCGCCACTGTATGACTTATTTTTCTGTTGTTTGTCTTATTCTGATACATCTATCATCAATCTATTTAAAACTACTTTTATTTGTGAAGGTTACTCATTTTCCCAAGATTTTTTCAGTTCTTTTTCCACTGGAAGAGTCTCAGTTTACAGTCTCAGTTTGATTGTTGACTTGCTCTTAAATATACCTTTGCCATTTGTCTGTTGTTTTCTTTATGTGTGCAAAATTTCCATGCATATACTCCAAGCAGTGATGACCTTCTTAATAAACTTTCTGTTCTGATCTCAAGCCAAGCCAAATAGCTGATAAAGCTATAATCAGAGGTTGCATTTTTATGATGTCATCATGTAACCTTCTTAAGTATTTTACTATATTTTAAAAATACAAGACACTAAAGTATTTTGATACAAAATATTAACCCATTTTAAACATCCCTATCAAATACAAATTACAAAATACTCAAATACGTATTTAAAATGCATGTATTATAAATACTGCCCATCCCTGATGATGTAATTGAGCATAATTTGTAAGCTGTTGATGTTCATTTTATTATTTTTTTCAACAACCTGCCATTAACTCATGATTGTTTGGTAGTTGGAGGAGCACATAATGCGTCTCCGAGAGGAGCTGGACAGGGAGAGAGAAGAACGCAACTATTTCCAGCTAGAGAGGGACAAAATTCACACTTTCTGGGAAATTACACGACGACATCTCGAAGAGAATAAGTGTGAGCTGAGAAACAGAGAGCGTGAATTGGAGGAAGTAGAGGAACGCCACCAAGTGGAAATTAAGGTATTAAAAGCGGTCTAGTCATTTTACCACAAATTAAGTCAACACTTAAAACAAAAACAACACAGTTTTTTTGTATCATTCAGGTTTATAAACAGAAGGTGAAGCACTTGCTGTACGAACAGCAGAACATGCTGTCTGAGCTAAAGGCTGAAAGCATCATCAGCACCAAACTGCTGCAGGATGAGCATGCTGATTTGGAGAAGGAGCAGTGGAAGGATATGCGCAGTTTGAAACTTGAGTTGAAACAACAAGAGCTGTCCAGTGAAAATGTGTTAAAGAGAATTCATCTAGTACGTCAATGATTTTAACATCATTAAATCAAGGTGTGAATTACTTTACTTTTTAAAGGGTCAAATAGTTTAGGTGACGTGGGTTAGGGTGAAATTAAAACTACAGGGTCCAGTGTGACATACAGGAATAATTAATGTATGGTGTAAACGTGTGGCCGGCATGGTGGTGCAAGAGGTAGCGTTGTCGCCTCACAGCAAGAAGGTCAAGAAGCAACAATTGGGTAAGCTACATTTTTTGTAGTGTATGTGTGTATGTCCTGGTACTCCATCTTGGGAGTTGAGTGTTGGGCTAACGACCCATCTCCTAAAAATGAGATGTTACGAAACACCAACATGGTGCGGCTAAATATCAACTTTGATATAAATGGTCTGGAAGTAAGTATAGTGTATATGTATTGTAATATTTATTATTGTTTACATTTAAGTTCTAGCTGGTTTAAATATTTTTGTATAAAAAATATAACATTTAGAAAATATTATAATGTAGATAATAAAATGTGCCATGTGTTTTTATTTGAGGTATGTATCTTGATTTATCATTGGTTAAGTCAAATTTTAATACAATTAGGAAGAAGAAATGCAAAACTTAAAACTGCTTGGCATTTTTTTTTTATTAACATTTGCATTGACTTATTACTACATTTCAATACAATGTTCTACAGTGAAAATAATCTGCTAAGAGAAGGAACAGGTACACTGTAAACATAAATGACATGTAGAAACATAACTGTTGTATACAGTAGCATACAACAAAACCATAAGCATGCTGTATGTAAAAATGTAAAAAAAAAAAAACAATAATAAAAATATGTAAAGCAAAAGTATATTCTCCATAATACAGTAAAGAACGCAATTGTGTGTGGAGAGTTTCAGAGGGAAAAGCCTCGATTACCCGGAGAAGTGTCACGCAGGCATAGGGTTGGCCGTGATATACTTTACTTTCCAGCACCAGGCTGAGAGGGATTCCCCTGTTTTGTTTTTTAGAGTAAAATATTATTTAGAAAAGGTAGGTAGGATCAAAACTACAAATTGTAAATGGGTGGCAAACAAACCATTTTTTTTTTGGGACCAAGGCGGTGTCCCATCACCTTTGACCTATTTATAAGCCTGTACTATTTATAAGCCTGTACTAGAGTAAAGCTGTGACTGATTAGTGATCAGTAAAGAACATACCTGCCAACACTCCAGTTTTTTCCCGGGAGTCTCCTGTATTTCAGACCCATCTCACGTATTGTTCAGTCTCTGTTTTTTGCTACATTCTCCATGCACACCAAACCCAATGAGCAACCATCTCCATACCGGCTTCCCGCTCTTCAGTACGCGCACCGCACAATGCTCCCCCTTCACACCGGACCCCCTTCACAATCAGAGTTGATTTGAACCTTTTATTTCAAATGGTGTCAGAGTTTAATTCATTTAGATGTTTACAGTGTATCAGATATACTGAAAATATGGATTCAGTACTGTATATAAAATCAACAAAGACATAACTGTAAATAACAAAGCTTGTGCATCATAGATAATAGTATTCTGACAATTTTAGAGTTGATTTGAATGTTTTATCTGAAATGGTGTCAGAGTTTAATTTACCTAAGTGTCTACAGTGTATTTGACTTAATAAAAATATAGATTCATTACTGTATATAAAAACAACAAAGGCACAACTGTAAAAAAAAGCTTGTGCGTCATAGAGAATACTATTTAGAAATGTTTAGAGTTGATTTGAATATTTTATATCAAATGGTGTCAGTTTAATTAATGTAAGTGTTTACAGTGTATCCGATTTACTGAAAATATGGATTTATTACTATATATAAAATCAACAAACACATAACTGTTAAAAAAAACAGTAACAAAGATTGTGCATCATAAAGACTAATATTTAAACGTTAAACTGATTTTAACATGGTGTGAAACCAGAGATCTGCTGTTGTTGAGAGCAGTTGCAATAGATTTCCAACGTTATACGCCTAGTCATCAATAAAGCCTATTAAAAAAATTTGCACATGTGCGACTAAATAAATTATCCAGTTCGCACACATCTATTTTCAGATCGCAAATGCGAGTGAAATGGTCACACTGTCGAGCCCTGTAAGTAGTTTATTTAAACATTTGTCTAATTAAGGATGTCATTTATTTAATTGACAAATTAATTTAATTGACAGTATTCTTGTAATAAATTACATTTGCCATTTTGAGAAATGTTAATTATTATAATATTTATGTATTTCTGAAAATTGATCTGATCCATGTCACAAACATTGGAAAGTTGTATTTTTGTAATTCACACCATGATTACTGATTACAGTGGCAATTACACTTCTTTTTTGCATTTTACGTTTAGCTAAACAAAATTGTCTTTCAACAGAAACATGATGAGGAAACTACTGATTTGAGAAATGATTTTGCCAGACAAGTACAAGGTAAAGTTGCTGTCTAATAAATTATTTTGACACACTTAAGTACAAGTGCATCACAATTAGAATATCATTAAAAAGTTTATTTCAGTCATTCAATTCAAAAAGTGAAATGTATATATTATATTGATTCATTACACTAAGACTAATATAATTAAAGTGTTTATTTTTTTTTTTTTAACTATTAATGTTTGCCTTCTAGCTAATGAAAACCTAATAATCAGTTTCCCAGAAAATTAGAATACTAATTAGGACCAAAAAAAAAAAAGGATTTTTAACACAGAAATTTTGGACTACCGAAAAGTATAAACATGTACAGCATTCAATACTTGGTCAAAGACGAAACATCAATATCCATCATGCTAAATATTCCAGACCAGTTGGCCAACTGATCAAATGTAGTGACAAGCTGCAGCAAATTAGAGAGCCATGAGCTGAATGGCTGTTGTGTTCAGCAGCTCAACGGACATGTCTGTGATTGACTGAAATAGTTATCGATGTACTCGCTTCACCCTGTGTTTACATGGACACAAGAGCATGATTAAGCAATTTCTATCCCTTAAAGTGTGTAGATAGATGAGTGATCGATCTGCTGACATATCTCTGTGTCAATGATGCATCATCAGCTCTTTCTGACAGCTGTGCCCTCAACAGCTCATTGGCTGGGTCTTGGTGGCTGAACAAAGCTGTTGTGGGTAATTTACATAGTGTCGTGTAGTGTATATACCACATATATTTAAAGACAAAAAATTAAGTCGTGTAGTCTGAAGGGCACATCGATCTGCCTATGTTTAAAGTCTTGTAGTGTGAATTGGCCTTAACCCACACTGCTACTACCTTTGGTATACACGCAGCCTTAGGGTCAATTATATCCCTGTGCTAAATTGGCCCGCAAGCTCACCTGACCTAAACCCCATGGAGAATGGGGTATTATAAAGAGGAAGATAAGATGCAAGACACCGCCCCAAACAACGTAAAAGGCTTAGGGCTGCTATCCGAGCAACCTAAGCTTTCCATGCCTCATCACATGGCTGAAGTAATTAATGCAAAGGGTGTTCCAACCAAGTATTGAGTGCTGTACATTTTCATACTTTTTAGTAGTCCAACGTTTCTGTTAAACTTTTTACTTTTTATATATTAGGTACTATTCTAATTTATCTGACATACTAAATTTTGGGTTTTTATTAGCTGTAAGCCACAATCATCCAAATTAAAAGAAATAAACACAATAAATATATTGGTCTGAAGCTGCGCTTTTCTCCCCTAAGACTTTCATTCATACGCACACGAATGCGTCAGACCAGAAATGCAGGGTCATGCGTCAAGGGTCAAATCGCACCACTTGACTGCACGAGACCAATTGAGGATCAAAACATGAACTCTCTAGACAGAAATTTAAAACATGGAGCAATCACTCGCTTTTTTAATGTCTAATAATTTCGCACATACAAACTCTACTGTGACTGCAGCTTAAGTGTAATAAATCTACATCAGGGGTCATCAACCCTGTTCCAGGGGAGCTACCTTCCTGCAGAATTCAGCTCCAATCCTGATTAAATACACCTAAATCAATTAGTTAGGATCTGAAGCAGCACTTGATAATTACATACAGGTGTGTTTGGTAAGGGTCCAATACGTAGTAGACATTATTTGTGTCTCATTTCAGAGGCTGCATCCTATGAAGAAGCATTTGAAGTGCGCTGTGTCATCGCTGCATGACAAAGGCTGTATCTTAAAAAAAACAGCAGGATGTTTTTAAAAGAAAACTCTGGTTTAAATGTATGAAATAAGTTTATTTTACCTGGATATCTAAACACTATTAACATTGTTAATAAACAAAAATAGTATGACACATCTTACTAAAGAGTGATTTTATTGACCTTATTCTCCGCAGACGAGCGGGCGCTACCATTTGAATCTTTTTGGCACGAGACTTCCGGTCTCATTCACTTCCATTCATTTTTAGACATTAAAAACTGCTCGTTTCACTGTTTGATGTTGTTAACTGATATTTCCTTGTTATATTATTCTACTTGGTCTGTATAGTCATGCAAACATTTGTTTGTAGAGCAAGTAGTTTGACCGTTTTTTGCCGTTTATTATTCCTTGTCATTTCTCCCATAGGCGACTGAAACGGAAGTTCTAAGACAATCGCGAAAACAGGCGCACTTCCACATTTTAGAATAAGGTCAATAGACAGTTTACATTTTTATGTGTACTTGTATTATTCAAAGGATATATTTTTCAGCTTGTTTTGCCTTCAGATTACTTAAAATAAGTTGTAAACTTTTTAAAAAAGTCATTACAAATTTTATCAAAGCTTATTAACAGATCTGTTAACAAGATCTGTCCTCTGTAGGCTAGATTGTCTAATTTCAAAACGTAAAGGATTTTGAAGGACTCACCTTTGAAGTCTGCATCCTTCTGAGGCTGCAGCCTCTGAAATGAGACATAGCTATTGTAACTAAAGTAACGCTCATGCTACAGTGATGGTTGGGTTTAGAGTTGGTGGATGTGTAGACGTTAATATCTGAAATTGTTGGGTTTAGGGTTAGAGGAGGTGTAGATGTGAATACCACACAATTTAATGTGTAATTTAATAATTGATATAAAAAATTAGGGTTTCTAGACACAACCGCTCACTCACATGCTCATTATGTATTAGACCTGGTTCAGTTTGTCATCAAGCTACGGGCTGCAGTGTGGACACTGTCGAGTTTTCAAGCTTTCCAGAGTTTCATTTTTTAAATTGAATTGAAATAGTGAAATCAACTTTTTGTGTACCTGTAAAGACCACTTCAATCTGGTGTTGTTGAACTATTTATAACTGTAAAAAGAGACAATTCAACCACATCTTAATGTTAAAACAGCTGTCATAGCATTATTTATTAATATGTGGACCTTTTTGGATTTTTTGTACAGCCAAATTACTTTCCTTATTTTATAAGCAATATAAGCCATTATTGGTAGGTTGCAAAATATAACAAAATAAAGGCAGACATGTTTCTTAATGAAAAAGATAAAACAAAGAACAAAGATTCACAATACAAATCCATGTAATATACAAATAAAACAAACAGTGGTTTATATTTCACATTTTTATAGGAGTATTTAAGCAGTAACATTTAAGAAATTGAATGAAAAAGGAGGTTTGTTGTTTAATCATAAACAGTATTTTAAGAACATTGAATTTTTTTATCCAAAAATGTCAACAACAACAACAACAACAAAAAAAAAAAACTTGATGGTCCATGCCGTTTCCCATGTAACCTCAGAACAATGGAGCATTTAAAATGGCTCAACATTTTAATGAAGTCTGAAACTGCCTAAAAAGATTTGTCCAGTTACTACTTACTGTTTAATGTGTATTTTGGAAACAATCAAACTTTAAACTTCTTTCGTTTCAGTATTTTACAGCTAAAAACATGACCCACTTTTGGTATTTTTTCTATAAAAAAAAACAATAAAATTGTTTTAAATATAAAATATTTCATATTGGTCCACTTATTTGTATAATTTGAACATTGCAATAAAAGGAAAATAAGGGGCACTGCTGTTGCTGTTGCTGGTGAAAAAATCCTTTACATGGTTTAAGAAATTTCCTGTTGGGTGTAATGTTAGTCGTCTAATATAATATTGGACTCTACTTTTGTGTCTTAAAGTAAAAGTGAAGCAGTAAGTTTACATTATTTGGCAATTCTATTTTCATTGTAATGAAAATATATAAAACAAACAAGGTTAATTTAACTGTTTTGACGAAAATAGCAGGTTTTATTCTAGCTTTTAGAGCTTGGGCGCTGCAATCTTGGAATATCTCTGTCTGACATCACAGGGTTGCTTCCGTTCCCTAAGGTGAACAGATACAGTAGAAGTAATGGACAGACTATGGAGACTGGAAAGTCTGATTTAACCCAATGCATCAGCTTGTGGGGTTGGGGAACGAGAAACTCCCTTTTTGTTTGCAATTACTCTCCATATTGAAATGGACTTTAAAAATCCCTAAATTCACTCCAAAGTGCATGTAATGTATTGTTTGTAATCTGTATGTATTGTCCTATAGTCTTAAAGCACATAAAGCATTAGATAAGGTAGGAAGGCAGGAATCATGTTAAATGTATTCTTAAAACTGGCGTATTTGTGAAATACCACAGTGATTTAAAGACACATAATCTGAATGCCATAGCGATTTGCCAATGTTGAAAGTCATGTAACATTAACTAGGCTTTACTGGCACTGCAGACCTGTCAAGTTTGTTAATGGAAAAAAAACACTGATTAATCAAGTTGAATGAAAAGAAAGGATATGAGAATCTTATAGGTTTACAAAAACTTACATGCTTTAAGTTAGAAGATGTTGAATGAGGACATGAGCTGTTGGCACAACTTGCCTTTTCCTGTTCTTGTATCATATTTTACAAGTGCCTTTTTAATTTTAATAAATTAAAAATGAACTTATTAACTTTCTTATCACAGTTGTTTTGAAGGTTTTAAATCCCTGCTGTCTATAGATCATCATTCTCTGTTTGTCACAGATCATAGAAAGTGAAACGTAAACCTTTTATGGGTGGTTGGATTTATTTAATGCATGTTAAAATACTTGTGAATTTTATTTACATCATTATGACAAAATCTATGTGATTATTTAACAGAGATTGACAGTTAAATCAGGCCCCTCCTATCGAATTATTAAATATTCGACCATTTTGGGTCACCCCTTTGATAATTATTATTTTGCTGTTCTTTTAATTCATTATCTCATTATTGATTTTGAAGCACTTGTGTATTGATGAGTAGCAAATATTTTTTACATAATTTTCTGTAAAAATACAGTGTAGCATAAAACAAAAGGAATGAGAAATGAAGACTTTGTGCAATAATCTAACTTGAGTCAAAATACTGTCACAGAAATTGGGTCCAAATATGAGAAAAGGATGCAGAAACTGCGTCAGGAGGAAGAACTGAGACGCAAGACAGAGATTCATGAGATTGAGGAGCGGAAGAACACCCACATTAACATGCTGATGAAGAACCATGAAAAAGCTTTCAGAGACATCAGAAACTACTTCAGTGACATAGTCTACAAGAATCTGGACCTTATCACTTCACTCAAGGTAAAAGAACACAATGATGGTTTTATTTATATTGCAGGTTCATGCAGTTTGCTTGTAGCTGTCAATGCTTAGTTTTCATACAAAGACATTTGACAGAATGAATTTAGGGATTGGCAATGTTGTTTACCTTTATATGGTATTTCCAGTATTTTGGTTAGAAGGTCTTGAATAACTGAATAACTGTGTATAAATTATTTGTTTGCCATGGTATATGTGATCTGCAATTTCTCTGCAATTTAGCTAGCAGAAGTTTTAATTACAAATTATAAGAATAAGTAAACATTCTTTCTTGTCAGAATGTACTGAGCTCAGTATGTCTGATTTTCACAGTATGTCTGATAATATTATTTCTTCTGGAGAAATATATTTGTTTTATTTTGGCTAGAATAAAAGCATTTTTTTATTTTTTTAAAAATTATTCACCCCTTTAAGCTATTTTTTCGATAGTCTTCGAACCAAACCATTGTTATACAATAACTTGCTTAATTACCCTAACCTGCCTAATTAACCTAGTTGAGCCTTTAAATATCACTTTAACCTGTATAGAAGTGTCTTGAAAATAGTAAAATATTATTTACTTTCATAAAATAAATCAGTTATTAGAAATAGGCTATTAAAACGAGTATGTTTAGAAATGTGCTGAAAAAAATTTTCTCTGTCCGTTAAACAGAAATTAAGCAAAAATGTAAACAGAAAGGCTAGGAATTCAAGGGGACTAATAATTCTGACTTGCTCCCTGAACCTGCAGGAGAGCTTGAATTTCTTTGGAACTTGTTTGGGACAGTTTTTCTTCTCCATCCATGCCCAGGGTGATTAGCAACAGTGGCTTTTGTCCATACTTAAGAAGACTGATTTATACTTCAAGCAAACACGTACGCTACAGTGCAGCCTACTACGCGTGGAAGCATAGCCCTCACTGTGGCCATAGGCGACGCTGATGAGGACCTCCCACAAAATGTAACTACACATTGCAACGACGTGTAGTGCAAGCTTTATGATTGGTCAGCTTGGTAGCGCTGACGAGTGAGGGCGGACGTGAGAGTCGTTTGAGCCCAATGCATGCATGCACTTGGGTCACGCCGATCACTTGACGCAGAAGTATAAACCAGGTTTTAGTGTGGCATAGGCAGGTGCACACAGTGCAAGGTCAAGTGAACTTATCTGCTTTCATGTGGGATTTTTATATTGCCCATATCTGTTACTTGCTCCAGGCGAGTTTAAAGGAGCATCACATACTTAAAACATTCGTATTTATCTAGAATTTTAAAAGGCTGCCCATAATTTTGTCAACCCCATTTTTGGAGTTTTGTGTGACATTGTCAAATTAGCTCTTTTTCCTCCCTTTTTTTTTTGTTCCATACACACAAAGGAAATAAACATATTTAACATAATAAACATAAGAAAAGAAATAAAATGTGTATAAGGAAACATGTATTAACGGCAATACTTTTCTGTGAAAAATACTTAATTTTATGAAAAAACTTCAAGGGTGCCAACAATTATAACCATGACTCTATAGGGTGGTTCGGTGGTGCAGTGGGTAGCACTTTCACCTCACAGCATAAGGGTCAGTTGGCATTTTTGTGTGGAGTGTGCATGTTCTCACTGCGTGGGTTTACTCTGAGTGCTCAGGTTTCCCACACACAAGTGAATTGGGTAAGCTAAAAAAAATGTCCATAGTGTATGTGTGTGAAGGAAAGTGTATGTGTGTTATAGATATATATCCTATCACGCATGGACAAAGGTGTCACATTACCATTCACACCTGGCATTTAAATCTGTCCATTTTGTCCACTTTACACCATTTTAGCCACTTCTCTGACAAGGAAATGTCTGTGAGTTGGTGTTGTTACTGCAAAAAAATAAAAATAAAAAAAAATAAAATTGCAATTTTCATATTGTACAAAAAGAAACATTAAAAAGTACCAGATTAATTAAGCACACTTTATAAATAGACTACTTTATATACATTAACTAAGAAAATTATAGATAAATCATTTTTTTCCCAGTTGACTTCTATTAGGCCAACATACTTTATTCTGTTTTACAAAATTAAATGTATATTTGTATATGTACATGTTTATATGCTATATGCTGTTCTTATTATGCTTTTGTTTTGAATTCATTACCACTATTTTTTTTAAATCAAAAGTAATACTTTTTTTATGAAATCATTTAATTCAAGTAATCTTTATTTCTGTAGAACTTTTACAATGTGGATTTTGCCAAAGCAGCTTAACATTGAAGAAGTTCTAGTAAATGTAAACATATTCAGCCAAGCTTTAATTATAGTAAAAATGTAACTGCTGAAAGCCCAAACACTGGAGCAAATCCAGTGATGCGCAGCTCCACACCAAGTCCCAAACCAAGCAAGCCAGTCTTGAGAAATACATTTCACCGATTGATGAAAAAGAAGGGAAAAAAAAACTTGAGAAAAACCAGGGTCAGTTGAGCATGACCAGTTCTCCATTGGCCAAACTTTTTGTGCAGAGCTGCAGTCTAGGTGGCGGAGACTTGAGAATGATGGCTGTCCATCGTGGAGAAGTGTCAGGTCTGAGTTCAGGCTAGCCAATAGGATCAATTCGGAGACTTGTCTGTTACTGGGATCTTTACGAGTCTCATGCTCTCCACTCCTCCATAACCGCCACAGCATCTGCTCAGGATATGGCTTGGTGCAGGATTTATGTAGATCTCGGGTTAAGGAGAAACAGATTAATGTAAGCCTAGATGCCGTTAAAATTATAATGTCTATTGAGAAGTTTGCCTTAATTCATTTGCCCTAATTAATGCAGCGTAACAATCCTTTAGAGGATTTAGATTTCAAAAGTTATGCATTTTTGTTTTATGTGTATGCTAATGCAAAGAGATCTTGTTTTAAAATGACAGAGAGTGTCTGTCTCCCGAACTGTGCTAGGAAAGCTGTTCCAGAGTTGAGGTTCCAGATATGAGAAGGATCTACTGCCCACAATCGATTTTGATACTCTAGGAATAATCAGTTGTTCAGAAGACAGATCAAAAGCATGCAACCATCCAGTTTCTGAGGCTTAAATTGCATTCTTGAATGTTGCTTTGAACAGAAATTATTAACTGAGATTTTAAAAATCTAATTAGCAGTCAAATACTTATTTATTTTTAAATAAATAAGAGATAAAGCATATCTGGACTGGTAAGAGAACATTCTCCTTTATACATGTTTCTCCAATAATATATAAGCTTGTCAAAGGATTGTCAACAACAAGGTTTAAACCTGTCTCTCCAGTGCACTTCTACAACACATCTCGCTCGTTTACTGAATGAGCTCAGTAGGTGGAGAGGTGTTCTTTAGCAGCTGTTTCAATGAATTCAAACACATGTTTATTCACATTACAAAAGCAGTTGAGTTAAATTCACCTTAGAATAGGGTTGAAAGTGTACAAGCTCAAAACGTTTCACACATCTATTTAGTGTTGTTCACTTGAGATCCGATCAATGAAAATGTATTTTAATTTAAAAAGTCCAGAGGGCTTGGATGATGAGGAAGTCAGGGATGGCAGCTGTCATTCATGTCAAAACATTTTTTACTCTGGTTTCTCAACAATAAATAGACGCTAAGGTGCTGTAGCAAAAAAAAAAAAAAAAAAAAAAAAAAAAAAAAAATCTTCTAGGAAACTGCCCATCTTGTAGAGACAAGCTCTCTCACCCTTACACCCGATTCACATGGGGCGTCAGTGCCAACATTTTCAATTCAATTTAAATGGGAGACGTCACGGAAGTGTTGCCAAACTAAATTGTGTGCAGCTTGCTGCAGAAGTTGGGAATTTCTCAACCTCTCAAGGGCCAAAAGAAGCGTCAGCCAATCAGTCTGATTCATGCAAATACTCTAGCTTAGACAGTAGCCAGTTGCGGTCTAATTTCATTGGCTGATGCTTCTATGACGATTGTATGAGCTCTAACTTCAGACACGCCCTCGGTCAAGCGCTGAGGGCTCCATGTGAATCAGCATTAGAGCGTCCTCTCTGTGGCCTCTCAAAAGCATCTCCCCATCCCTTATCTGCAAATACACTGGTCTTTGTCATTTGACAATTGACTTAATTATGAGCCATTGTTCTTTCAATGTGCTCAATTTCTAAGAAGCGCTCAAACACACGCCAACTGTAAAGGCTTATTTATACTTCTGCGTCAAGTGCACACGTATGCTCCGGCACAGCCTTCGTGTTGTCGCATGGCCGACAATGCTGATACGCACCTTTCAAAAAATGTTACTACATGTCGCAATGTTGTGTAGCCCAAGCTCTGTCGGCTTGGTACAGGTGACAAGCGTGGATAGTGTTGAGAGCCCGATGGAGTGAGTGTTCACAAGTGTGGAGTCCCGTAAAGGTGCTCCAGATGGAGACTTGTGTTTTAGGTTTACCTTATGATTAAAGTTTTTGCACATCCGCTGGTACCCGCCTCTAAATGAGTAAGTTTTGGCTACTTGTAGCGTTCAGAAAGAACAAAATACCCACAGAAAAACTCAACAAAGGAGAACATAAAACCAACTGCCAGCTTGCATTTCGGAAGCGTTATTAAAGAACACAATAAGCATGCAGAAGTATAAATGCACGGCTATGTTCAAGGCAGGCGCGGTGGGTCACGCCGATCACTTAAAGTACTTAAAGTTTTTACTTGTACTATTGTTATGTATTGTGCACTTAAGCTATATGTTTGCTCCCTGATGTCATGCTCTCACACTGCTGCTGCTGAGATACATTAAGTGTTTTTTTTTGTCAGGCTTTAAATGTTTTCTCTTGTGGTGAAATGTGTGCAGGAAGAGTTAAAGGAAATGAAAAAGAACGAGGAGAAGAGAAATAAAGAGATGGCGGAAGTACTTGAGCAGAATAAGGAGCTTAAAGAGTCTTCACAGAAGGCAAAAGAACAAGTTGCTGAGCTTCAGAAACAGCTTGCCAATTATGAGAAGGACAAGAGCATTTTAACTGTATGTTTAAGGTCCTAGAAATGTACTGTAAAGCTAGTGAATTGTTCTGGAATATAACAGAATTTCCTTTTTGTATGTGGTGTGATATATGTAATGTATGTTCTATATGTTTGCTCACAGCGGTCAAGAGCTCGTCTCAAAATGTCTGACAGAGAAATGAAAGAGCTTAAGTGGGAGCTTGAAGTGTTGGAGCAGAGATTTTCTAAGGTGATTTGGAGGAACTTTTCTTTAGAAATTTAGTAGAAGCTAGACATCATACTTGAAGGGAAAAAAGTTGATCTATGCTTTAAAGAGCAAGAACGACAAGAATGTTGTGTTCACACTGTAATATAACAGCAGAATGATTAATGACTGCTGCATGTGTAATAGCTAAAGAAATTTTGATTGTGCAGGTTCAACTGGAGCGGGACGAATTGTACATGAAGTTCACTAAAGCCATTCTAGAGGTTCAACAGAAGAGTGGTTTTAAAAACTTGCTGCTTGAGTGCAAATTGAACACACTCAATGACACGCTTGAGAAGAAGGAAGCCCAGCTCAGTGAGGTGCTGTCTGCTTCCAACCTGGACCCCACCACCCTCAGTGTGGTCACCCATAAATTGGAGGTAAAGGATTTTATAAAGACTTCTCCAATTGAAAAGATAATTATTGAATTGGTTCTAAAAAAATGGTGTTTGTTAATGTGTCTCAAGAGTTACTTACTTTTGTTTAGGAAGTTTTGGAGTCCAAAAACCATACTATTAAAGACTTACAGTATGAAGTTGCACGAGTTTGCAAGGTAAGCAATTGTTTTTGCAGATGGCACCAATGTTAAGTATTTCAGAGAAAATAAATGTCACATGTAGTTTTAGCATACAACAGCAAACATAACAACCATGGTCACGAAAAAAAGCTGAATTAGTCTAAAGCACCTTTCACACATACATACTTTTTCGGTAAGTGCAAGCTGCCAACTGGTGAGTTAGGGTTTTGGTCTTTTATTTCAAGAGGATATCACAAGCTGCAGCACATACTCAAATGTTCGTTTACATATCCGAAAGTGTTTCTCTTCATCAGAGTTGTATATTATATTAAAATATAATAATATAATATAATATAATATAATATAATATAATATAATATAATATAATATAATATAATATAATATAATACTTTTCAACATATCACACACAGCCCATCTTCATTGCTCAGACATCTGTGTAGTCAAATTGGTAAATATTAAGGGTATAAGGGTAAACAGAAGTCAAGGTTCAGTATGTACGACAGGAATAAGCAACAAATCTTCAGTGCTTGCTTTTTTCTGTTTATTTCAAACTTGCAAAAGTGTTTATTGCAATAAGCTACAGAACTTGAAATGCTTCTTGTGATACAAAAGTACAAAATAAGTGGAATAATGAAAACAAAGTAGTACAATTAGAAGACTGTGTATAAAAATTTCAATGTTTGAGGCCAAGCGTCTTTATGAAACAACAGAAAAAACAATAACTTGTGAATATTTTTTTAATTGTATTCTCTAAACTTCAAAACTGAAATCTCCTAATGAAAATGCTAACACTGTATCCAACTTTAAAACGCTGCAACACTCATTCATTTCAGTTCTAAAGCAATGGACCAATCAGAAGAACTCAGCGGAAGAAGCATTGTGAGCTTCTGGCTGCATCCAAAAACTCATAGTATTTAGTACATTAAACAAGTAGTATGTCTGAATTCGAGCGACCCGAGTAGTATGTCTGAATTCATAGTATTCAAAAAACAGTATGCACAGTATTCTGAAGTGCACATCCAATGGACGCTATGCTATCCCATGATTCCACGTGATTCAGTTCATGAGACTAAAGTAACACAACTGACATGGGTAGGTCATGTACTTACAACAAATTGTAAATGTAGTACATCCGAGTCCCATTTATACTACCTACATTCATACTATATAAAATGTACTTTTCTAATGCTCATGTAGTAAATTCAAATGCACTACATACTTGAGTAGTTGGTGATTTCTGACACAGCGTCTATTTAGAGTAGCAAGTCAATGACTACAACAACATGGCATTTCGGCATCTTTTGTTTTCAAACACAAGGACACTGTTAATGATTCCTAAGTTGTTGCACTGCTGTGTACTTTTCTGTGTAACTTTTCTATATTTGTTGCTGGAATGTATGATTCAACCCATGACTATTTGGGATAAATAAGTTTTTTTTTTTTGTTTTTTTTTTAACCTGCAAGTAGAGCGTAATTTATATCCTGTGGTTTAGTTTTTTTTTTTTTTAATTGAGACAACCAGCTACATTAATGCCAGTTTAAAATAAATTTGAAATCATATTTTGTCAACAAAAATACTAGTTAATGATATCAGAACTTACCCTCACATGTTTTGTGTTTTAATTTACTGGTAAAGCCATTCTGGTAGTTTTATGGATATTTGCTGGGAATATTCTGTGAAAGGGAATATTCTATATATATATATTTTATAACCAAACAAAAAATGCAAACAATTTGAATTTTGTTTTTATTTTAGAGTGTGTAAATCCCTAGTGTAGGTAGGTTTACACTTTTTAGACATACCACCTCTTCAGGAAGTCTCAGAGGTGTCTTGCATATTCATAGACTCCATGATAGCCGCAAATTACTAGATAAAATATCAATCTAGAACAAACAAGAGGAAATAGTGCCACTTTAGTGAGAAAAACACTTGCAGGGCATGCGGCTGCAACAACAATTAAGAGAAGGCGGCATTTTCTTCCAAAATCCACAAATAAACGTACATCTGGATTCCAACTCATTCTCCTCTTGTTACTTGCTGGGTGGGATGTCTTATTTGAAATGTCTACTAATGAGCAGAATATTTAGTGGTGTACATGGTTGTGATTGCTTCATATCTCTACATAAATCACTCACTCGCATGAGTATAAACTAGTAAGATAATTTAAACACTACAGCACAGGTGTTAAACTCAGTTTCAAAAGGGCCGCTGCTCTGCACAGTTTAGTTCCAACCCTAATTAAACACACCTGATCAAACTAATTGAGTCCTTCAGGCTTGTTTGAAACCTACAGGTAAGCGTGTTGGAGCAGGGTTGGAACTAAACTGTGCAGGGCTTCGGCCCTCCAGGAATTGAGTTTGACACCCCTGCACTACATAAAGTCTCAAGGGTTTGTATCCTGTGGATGATCTCTACAAAATTAATGAACATGGGAGTTAAAATTGCATGTCAAGAAGGTTATTCGTATTTCTGAATGACTGTGTATTAGTTTAAAAGTATTAAACTAAAAATATTTTTATGTACTATAGTCTGCCTTTATGATGTGTAAAGAGTTGTCTATTTCTATCCACAGGCCCATAATGACTTGCTAAAGACTTCTGAAGCAAAGCTGCGAGCATTTGGTATTCCTGTGGAAGAGCTCTGCTTCGAGCCACTTAAAAGCAATGGACAGAGTGTTGGCCAGGGCCCTGCTATGTTTGTTTCTTCTTCAAATTAGCATTTTGAAAAAAAAAATAATAATAATAAACAAATAATCAAATGCTATTTTAATAAAATTTCATTCAGATTTTTTAGTATTTAGTTTTAATAAATGTGAAGAATTACAGTGTGTTCTTCTGTTAAATAGCATATGGAAAATGTTCTTTTTAAATTTGACATTCCATCTGAATAACATATGCAGTGTCCAAGAGAGCTCAACAGGCTGAAAGTTAAGAAAACATATTATTCTCCTGCAATTTATTGTGACAATATTTCAACAATTAACAAAGCATTGCAAATATTTTTTTATTAAAGACATAGAAATTATATTTAATTGTGGTTATTCAGTTAATTAAGCTATCGTATATAACCACAGTAATAATTTTACAGTTAATCATCAGGTTATTTAGGCTAATAATATGCAAAAGACAAAGGAATTGGGGTGTTAAACTAAACTAGAAGAAATTCAGGGCAGCTATACTGACCAATAGTAATGGTGAAGTGAGCCTTGTTAAGTATCATTTTACCTAGGGCCTAAAACTATGCCAATGGCTGCTAACAAAAAAAATAATAAATCAGCCTTTTATTATTGTTTGTTTAACAGGCAGTGACTACTGCTACTAACTACTCATATTTACAATGCTTTTTATTTCATCATTACTGAACTGAAAAAGTTTCTCACCTGTTTCTTTAAATAGTAAATTAATTTTTTTTATTGACAAAGCCAGACAGTTGACCTCTCATTTTTACACACATTCTGATTACAACTTATCTTCAGAGAGGGTTACTGACTCATGGTTGCAGAATTTCTAAAACAATATTATATAAAAAGTACAACTGACATGGGTTACTATACTTTATATTTATTGATTTATTTGAAATGGTAAATTAAATTTGTTTTGCACTATTGCCATGTCTGCTTTTTAATCCTATTTTCTGCATGTATCTGAGGATGTTGCTCTATTAAAACTCTCCTAAACACTTTTTTTTTCGAACAAACTTGAACAAAGTGGTTCACAAAAATAAACACTAAGATGGGCATTTTAAGTAATAAGCATGTATTTGACAGCAATACACTGCAAAAGTTAACTGAATTCAGTCCTCTCGCGCTGTTCGAGAAGCAGGCCTCTCTGTTCGAAACTGCTGTCAATCATTCAAATACCTCGCAATGCTTGTGAACCCTGGACAGAAACATCCACTGTTTGAAAACCCCATCCTTAAGCACACAAAAACACTAGTAACTGATGTACAGTGCATCTGTAAACTTCACCTTTTCCATGTTACAGCCTTATAACAAAATTTATTAAATTAATTTATTTCCTCAAAATTCTACACACAATACCCCATAATAACAATGTGAAAAAAGATTTTTTGAAATTGTTTGGCAGCAATTACAGCCACAAGTCTTTTTGAATATGATACCACAAGCTTGGCACACCTGTCTTTGGTAATTTTTACCCATTCCTCTTTGCAATACTTCTCAAGCTCTACTTAACACTTCTATACAGCTTAAAGTGACATTTAAAGGCTTAACTAGGTTATATAGGTTAACTGGGCAGGAAAGGGTAATTAGGCAAGTTATAACAATGTTCTGTAGACTATTGGGGAAAAGATTAGCTTCAAGAGGCTAATAATTTTGAATCTCAGAAACTAAACATTTTGTTTGTATTCAACAGTTTATGATACACATGATGCATGTCTGTTACATATTAATTATTATTATTATTATTAATTAATAAATTATAAGGTATTATTATTCTATTAAATTACTTACACATTTAAACATTTTAAATAATGGACACTTTGATCAAATTTTACAGTGAAATTCAAAATGTATTTTTTTTCACCCTAAAATATATTTAGAAATAGAAAATCTATTTAGAAAAAAAATTTGGTTAAAATAAAATATATTTTTGATTTAAGAAAAATAAAATTCACAGATAGAACATTTAACACATGTTTAAAACATATTTTGGTGAGGAAAAATATATATTTTTACTGTATGGATAGCCACACCCAGGAGTGGCCGGCTGACCAAAATTATCCCAAGAGCACAGCGAAAACTCATCCAAGAGCTCCCAAAAGAGCCATCAACAACATTCAATGATGCCTCACTCACCCAAGTTGGCTCTGGAACTGAAAATATTCATGTTCCAGATTTTGGGCATTCATTGGTACAGGATTCTCATTCATATCGAGTGTAAACCTCCCCTCTTTGCCATTCCCAGAAGGCCTGGGTTTTGCCATCTGTAAAATGCGCAATGTGGAAGTAAACACGCGTTCATGCATAGAGTCCTGTGTCTTATTGCGATGACTTTGACTACAGTTGTTTTGTCCATACCATTACTTCGATTTTGTATCCATGTATATAAAATGTATATTTATTTATTGCAGTTCTAATACTATAGCATTGTGTGACGGCATGTATGGACTGTATTTCACTGTATTTTGTGACAAAGAATATTGAATGTTTTTCAAGATATAGAGTTATGTCATTGGCATCACAGTGAAGAATAACTCCATAATAAAACTAACTTTTTAGAGCTGTAGCATAAACAAGACAAGCTAAAGCTACAATGTAAAAATTGATTTGTTCACTTAACTTAGTTAAATTATCTTGTTGCATTGACTCAGTTGTTGTATTGACTGAATTATCCAAGTTCTCAACTTAAAATGTTTAGTGGACAGTTAATAATTGACCCAATTACTTATTTCAAGTGAACTGGACTTGCAAAGTTTATTTTTAGTAGGTAAACTTACATTATCAAGTAAGCAACACTTGCCAAGTTATTTTAAATACATTAACCTAAATGTTCAAATTTACTAAACTTAATCTAGCAAATTTTCTCAATTAGAAACTAAACAGATGAAAAAAAAACACATTACACATTCATTCACACTTTATTTTAATGGTCCGTTTGTTTAATTTAAAATTACACTGCATCTACATGCCAAATAATTCTCAGTAGATTATACTGTTAGGTTAGGGTTAGTGCAAGTAGACACCTACTTGTAAAGTTTCTTATAGTCAGTTAAATGTCTGATGAAGGAGCAGCATCAACAGATATTAAAACCGACAGTCTACTAATACTCAGATGAACCATAAAAATCAAAAGGTAACACTTTTTATTTTTTATTTTATTTTTTTATTAAAAGGTCTTAACTCCTAATTTAGCATTTACACATAAAATACTACATAATTGTCTTTACAAAGTATTTTTTTTTCCCATAAAGTATTTTTACAAAGTAATTGTAAAGTAAAAATGTGCAACAACTGTAAAACTATAAAATAAAATACACAACACAGACTCTGAGGAAAAATAAAAAAATGGCACCAGGACTTTGACACTGTCACAGTTTAACGCAAGAAAGGTTATCTTTTGAGGGTTTTTCAAAACAACATTACTGAATCAGAGTGATGAAGCAGGAGTGTAGTAGATGTTGGCGATCTCATACACACACAGCTCATCAGGTAAACATCGGATCTTCAGGTAAACACCAAAATAGCTTAGTCACTTCCCTCATTCAGACATCCATGGAAGAAGTGGAGTGGAAGCAGGCAAGCCAGTGATATGAACCACCCAACTTCGATACCAGCCGATGAATCAGAAAAAGAGGTGGATATTTATGGTGTCCAGTAATTGTGGGTTCAGGTGCAGGTAATTAGTATGCTGCTGATTGTGCACGGGTGTGGTGAGAGGTGGTTGGTGAGCGAGAGCGGTGATTGGAGCTGCAGGAACCAGCCGAGGGTGTGACTGACACCAGGGCCCGGTTTTTCAAAAGTAATCCACTAGGATTTTGAATAAGGGATTGGATCAAATCTTGAAAATGTTTTTTTCAAAAGAAAAAACGGATTACCTAATCGGATTAGATCACGTAATCCAATCTTGGTTTTGATCCAGATCAAACCTTTACTTTGGGTTTTTCAGACCTTTTTTGTAGGATTCGGATCACTTTGATCCAAAAAACCTGGATTAAACTGATCCCATCAGAAGGGTGGATTTCATGCCTAAAATGTAATGAAAACTTAAAAATGTATTAAATAATACTATTTTTGGATCATGCAGTATCTTACGAGATATACTATTTATTCACAAGGTTTTAATTTTATTTGTTCATCCGTCAGGCTATAGTGTTTAATGGCTTTAACGTATTCAGCCTTTCAGTATAGGCCTACAGCAAAGTAGAAAGAGTTTGGCCTCAAAAAATAATCCCCCAATCAGCTGTCAAAATTTACCAAAAACAATAAAAAAAATTCTGTCACTAATTGATATACATATATAATTATAATTATATATAATTATCACAATGGAAAATATTTTTCTTTTTAGAATATTTATTAGTGATGCATACAATGATAACAGAATAACCAAAAATAAAAATGCAAAGAATGGCAATGACTTTAGATTTCTCTTTCAACAATTGCAAAAAGAGATTGAAAGGGCAGAAGCACAGCTTCATCTGGCAGAGAATAACTGACTCTGACCAAACTGCAGCAAACCAAGGCAAGACTTTAGATCTGCCTCCTAAAGGCCTCAGACGAGCTGGTCTCTCCACATCAGATGAGGAAGTCTGAGATTATTGTGGAGTTTTTGACATGAAGTGTTTTTTTATTTACATCTATATTTGAAACTTATTATAAATATCCTCAATGTACAGTGTTGCAGGTCTTAGATGAGCAGACTAAGACCTGCAACGGTTGGGATGGGGTGGGGTTTTTCTTGTTTTTATTATTTATTATTATTATTATTATTATTTTATTATTTATAAAATTTTCTTAGTTTTTATTTCAGATAAAAATAAAGTTATATTGACCCCACACTGGCTATTATATTTGTTGCTCTTTACACAGGCCTGTCTATCTACATTGTGGTTGAGCACTGGTAATCCAGATTTAGTAATCCTGAAAAGTTCATATCCGGATCAAATTGATGCAATCCGATGTTGCTTTGAAAAACTGGCTCTAAAAGTAAGCTGGATTACGTGATCACAGATCATAAAAACAGGACTACTAAATCCGGATCAATTTGATCCGGATTAAACCTTTTGAAAAACCGGGCCCAGGGCCCAGGGCCGGACCTTATCCAGGGCTTGGATAAGGTATTGGATCAAATCTTGAAAATGGGTTTTTCAAAAGAAAAAATGGATTACATAATCAGATTAGATCACATAATCTGATCTTGGTTTTGATCCGGATCAAGCATTTAGTTTGGGGTTTTCAGACTTTTTTTGTAGGATTTGGATCACTTTGATCCAAAAAACCTGGATTAAACTGATCCCATCAGAAGGGTGGATTCATCATGGATTTCATGCCCAAAATGTAATAAAAACTTTAAAAAATTATCAAACAAAACTAGATTTGGATCATGCAGTATCTTACAAGATATCCCATTTATTCATAAGGTTTAATTGTATTTGTTCATCCATCAGGCTACAGTGATTAGGTAGGCTTTAACGTATTCAGCCTTTCAGTATAGACCTACATCAAAATAGAGAGTTTGACCTCATAAAATAATCCCCCAAACAGCTGTCAAAATTGACCAAAAACAATATAGTTTATTCTGTCACTAATTGATATACAGTTTAAGTCAGAATTATTAGCCCCCCTTTGATTTTTTTCCCCCAAATGATGTTTAACAGAGCAAGGAAATTTTCACAGTATGTCTGATAATATTTTTTTTTCTTCTGGAGACAGTCTTATTTGTTTTATTTCAGCAAAAGCAGAGTAAAAGCAGTTTTTAGTTATTTTAAAACCATTTTAAGGTCAAAATTATTAGCCCCTTTAAGCTTTATTTTCTTTCAATAGACTACTATCCTTTTACAATAACTTGCCTAATTAACCTAACCTGCCTAGTTAACCTAAATAACCTAGTTAAGCCTTTAAATGTCACTTTAAGCTGTGTAGAAGTGTCTTAAAAATATCTAGTCAAATATTAACTGTCATCATGGCAAAGATAAAATAAATCAGTTATTAGAAATGAGTTATCAAAACTTTTATGATTAGAAATGTGTTAAAAATAATCTGCTCTCCATTAAACAGAAACTGGAGGAAAAAATTTACCGGGCGGCTAATAATTCAGGGGGATAATAATTCTGACTTCTCCTGTATATATTCATTACAATGGAAAATATATATATATTTTTTTGAATATTTATTAGTGATGCATGCAATAATTACAGAATAACCAAAAAATCCAAATAATGGCAATCGCTGATTTTTGAAATCACTTTTAACAATTGCAAAAAGAGACTGAAAGGGCAGAAGCACAGCTTCGTCTGGTAGAGGAACAACTGACTCTGACCAAACTGCAGCAAACCAAGGCCAGACTTGAGATCTGCCTCCTAAAGGTGACACTCAGACAAGCTGCTCTCTCCACATCAGATGAGAAAGTATAAAATTATTGTAGAGTTTTTGACAAAGTCTTTTTTTTTTAAATTCAATACATCTATATTTCTACTTGTTGCTCTTTACATATCTTTAGTTCTACGTTGTGATTTCCTATCCTGTTCATCCCGGTCCAGATTTAGTGTTCCTGAAAAGTTTCTATCCGGATCAGATTGATGCAACCCGATGTTGCTTTGAAAAACTGGCTCAAAAAGTAAGCTGGATTACATGATCACGGATCACAAAAAAGGATTACTAAATCCAGATCAATTTTATACGGATTAAACCATTTGAAAATCCGGGCCCAGAACACAAAAATCTGATCTCAGCATCTTTATTTCAATGTATGTCTGCTCCAATGTTCATTAAAAGTTACGGATTTCCACTGCTCAGCTCTTGTTCAGAATCTGTGTTTATATAAGAAATGCAAAACAGTAAAAAATCTTTTTATTTAAAAACACTAAGCTGTGTATGAGTGTATGTGTGTGTGGATGTTTCCCAGAGATTGGTTGTGGCTGGAAGGGCATCCGCTGTGTAAAAACTTGCTGGATAAGTTGGTGGTTCATTCCGCTGTGGCGACCCCTTGATTAATAAAGGGATTAAGGCGACAAGAAAATGAATGAATGAATACTGGTAAAATATCTTTAAGTCAGTCTGCTCTTGGAACAACCTTTAAAATGAGAAAATTACATTTAAATGAACTACTGTTAATATTTTTCTAAAATGTCTTCCATTGAATATACATTTGAGATCCATTAAAGTCTATATAAAAATACCTGTAGTAGATCAGTCAGGGAAAAAGAAAGTCCTACTTTTTATACACATATTGAGATATTGCAAATTCAAACCTAAAACAATCTTTACTAAGCATTATAAATGTGGCCAAACTCCACATGCATTAGCAAAGGTCTAATCTGCTCAAGAAACATTTATACTGTGAACAATACATTAACTATCAGTACATATATATGTCATTTTAAAAGTTATTACACATTTGAAGTAGGATTACTTATCAAATGAGATGACTAAACAATTAAAAAACCTGGCAAAAAAATTCCATGTGTCTGATTTCTTAACTGGCGGTTGGCAAACTTAATTAATGGTGCATATTCCGCTACCTGCTGGATTGGAAGTATGGGGCACAATTTAAAGGGTGCTGGTTCAGTATGTTTTTAAGTTGAGTGGACAAACACTCTATAACAGACTAGTTGAGACAGCAAAAACTTACCAAGTTAAGTTGAATTACCAACTTTATTTTAAAAATGTTAACAGGGTGTCATTAACAGGTGGAATATGAGGCTGATATATTCTTAGATATCTAACTAGATAGTATTTATGTTGAAAAGATGATTGAACATTACATTCATTCAAGGGCCAAATGACGGAGGGGAGAGCATACTTTCATAGTTTAGAAGAGCAGACAAGAAAAAAAATTTATATATATATATATATATATATATATATATATATATATATATATATATATATATGTATATATATATATATATATATATATATATATATATGATTGTATTGAATTTTCTATTAAATCTTTAAATGTAATTTTAAGAGATATATCATGGCTTTGAGCTCTTTGTTGGCTGTTTGTTGTTGCTTCCACTTTGTTGCTTCTACTTTGTTATAGTACCACCACTATCTGTTGACCTTGGCATATTTAGTAGTAAGGAATTTCATGACTGCATTTATTACACAACACAGATGGCAACCTATCCCTTATCCCTTTGACTGCCGCTCTATCAAAGGGTTTTGTTTTGACTGTTTTAAATAATGAATGTTCAAGTAATTAAAAGGATTGTTTTAAATAATGGTTTACACATGTTTACAAATGGTTTACAAAAAAATTAAACAAACATAATCATGTTGCACTACTACATTTTTTTTGTAAAAAAAAAAAAAAAAAAAACTAACAAGAAAAGATGTTAAATGAGAATTTGAAATATTTTATGCCATGCTTCAAACAAACAATAAAAATGATTTAGTGTTCAAAAGTGATTTATTTTGATTATGTTTGTAAATAAATTAGTCTTACACTTCATATTTTCTGATAGCATATTCTGGTACTTTTACCATAAACCAACATATCTACCATTTGGTAAAGGTAGATATTTAATATATTATGGCATGTGTTTAAAAATAAATGCACTGAGTGTATGAACTAGTTTTTTTCACAAATGTTTGTAGAAGCTGTCTGCATGGCTAGATGCTGAATTTTAAACCCCTGTGGACATAAAGGCAGTAATGGAAACTTCTTATTTCAATGAATTATACGGATCCAAAACTTTTGGAAATATAATGTTTAAGTACAAAATACTGAAATCACACTATTCACGTTTCTTTATTGTAGGTAATGGGAAAATGCTTTTCTTTACTCCAGTTTCAGTGGCATTTAACAGTGATGATTGAGTAGTTTATAAATATAAATATGCAATAAAAAGTTATGAGTGAATGTATTCAACTCTTATCTGATTTTAAGGTATAATTTTCACTATTACCAATCCACTAACTATGACTTTTACCTTAATAAACTTAATCCGAAACCATGCATTTGGGCGCAAGTACAGTACACATCTATTTTGAGTGCAAACTGAAATCAAAAATGTCACTTTTCATTTCTTCACTGTCAGTGTTTTTTTATTTTACATTTTTTTAAGTTGCCAGCCACTACCAGCCTTTTTGATGATTTTCATCTTAATTTGATTTCCCTCAGAAAAATCTCTTCTAGGAATATATATCAAAGCAAAGAACCAAATATGCCTTCAAACAACAAAAAAGTATTTTATTCTATATTTACATTTATGTTTTATCCCCACTTAAATTCAGGTTGGATAAAACACATTTTCATCCTCCTGCTGATTAATGAAGGCAGATCATTTCACTCTGGCAAGCTGTGATAATGAAGAAACTACTCTAAAGGAAGGTTGCATAATTTCTTTACATAACATTTTTACCTACGATCTTACTTTGTCTTATATTTCATTCCCAGAAGACAGAGTGTTTCCCACTCAGGACATGTGTAAGGGCTTCCCTTACCACAATAAAGTGCTTTCTCTGAATTGATAAGTTATCTTGGGGAAAGAGTTAGGGCACTGTTCCATATGGATATATAACTCATGCTTACTTGTCAATGGATGGGAACTGACATTAAAGATGCATACTCCTTGCTGCACTTCAGCTGCCACCTTAAACCTCATAATACAGTGGATTTGTACAGCAGTATACTCATGTGTTTGTGCATTGCATGCCAAATGACATCCTTCTACAGTGTTACCGATTGTTTTTTCATGATCATTTTATGATTCATACAAACAAACAAATACATGACAAATTTCTGATGTGTCAACTCAAAATTTATTGATCCTCTACATTAACATGTAATGTTCAAGTCATCAACAAAATACTTAAATGACTAACAACTGAAGATTATAACAAAGTGGTTACAGTGGGAGCATACAAGTACAGCACTGTAAAATACAAGCAGTTTTACCTTTAGCTTCCCCTGTATGTACTATAAGAGAAACGACTCAGAAGTAGAGGAACATGGTAATGCTGTGATGTATTAGTGATGGTAAAGACAATCTGAAAAAAAGGAAATATCAGTTGTTATTGAAAAAATTGTCAAAAGAATGGCAAGTTAGTGGTTTTCATTCCTGGTCCTGGGGACCAACCAATCATTCTAGTTAACACGCTCAATTTTGAGACTCACAGTTCTATGAACTGAATTAAGTCCCCAGGTCCAGGAATTAAAATGACCTGTGTGCGTTATGTAGTTTTTCCATACCTCTACATATGGATAGAAGCATGTCTCGCCCAAAGCATCCCAGTATTTTCCAGTCTCAAATCTCATTTTATACACACCAGCAATGAAGTTTTCTTTTGTGATTAACCCAGGACACCGCCCATCATCATTAGTAATCCTATAATTCACAAACATTCAATTTTAATGTCCATTAAAATCTTTTTCAATTATTTAGACAAAACTGATACATATTGCTTAGGCCATGTCAAGATTTGCTGTTAATATGAATTATATATATTGTTATTTATATTAATATTATATTAATATACACTATAGATTAACATAAAAATATTTGGAAGGCATTAATGGGGCTAGATAGTTTTACAAAGAATTCACTGATATTATTTATGCATGAGTAGCTAAATTCACATGCACAATACATTTAAACTAAATTGACAGTATATTAACAATTTATGGCTACAAAATAAAAATACATAAAATCATAAAATACAAATACATACAAATGTATAACAGTGTACAGGAAGTTTTGAATATTTGACAAATTTGCAAGTTAATTATCCCTATGAATGTGCAAACCATCTTTCATGTTTGATTCACCCTGATTTTGTGTGTTTTTGAGACTTTCCAGGCAGCCCACTGCTCTCACACAGGTCACTCTTACCCTTTAGCCAGTTGCTGCTATAGATCTATGCACTATCTGACATATTTTAGAATTAAAATAAAAATTTTATTTCAATCCTCTATCCAGCATGCGAATGGAGAATGGGATGCCCACTGTTCCTGTGCACTTTAAGCTAAATTTTAAAATCTCAGACTTTCACAAACTGAAAAACCTAATTTAACTAATGAACATAAAACAAGCTGTTGTTGTGCTTCTATATTAATACTATTAAAATAATGTGTTAAAATAGTAACATAATATTAAAATGTTTTTTAGCTTGAAAACATGTTCGCATGACTTTAATATTCACTATGAGAATAACAATGCCAGTTACTTTTTAACACACAGGTTTTAAAGTGGTCATATTGAAACCACAGCTATTAAAAGTTATATTATCTTGATATGTGTCATGATCACCAGCGATTCTAACTCCACAGATCGCTGGAATTCACACACAATAGTTTACGGACTACAAATCCACCATTTTATTTATCTCCATACAATGTACTCCACTCTCACACACATTTTCCTCATCCTGACTGATGGCACAGACACCACCAGAGGATTGTCAAGGACTAATTACACACACTACTTAAGTAGCACACACACTCACTTCACTCGCAGAGTCTTGTTTACATCACATTACAATGCGTTTACTTTGTCTTGTTTTTCTGTGTTGTTAGTCTGTTTATCCCTGCCTGCTGCCTACCATCTGACCTCTTGCCTGTTACTTTGACTAGGTTTATGGATTGCCTGTATACATCTGTATGCCCCTGTATTGACCATAGCTTACCTGACCTTGCTATTAAACCTGCATGTGGTTTTTAGTGTCATATCCGCTGGTTACAATGTTTAGCTTGTCTGGTGAATGCCTGCATCAATCTAATCAAATGGAGTTGAAAGAAATTATACCGGACCTTACGAAATTCCATGATATTCCAGTACACTGTTATATATTTTTATTATGATTATTTTTTTATTTTTAATGTAAATGTACTTTTGCACAAAGCTTGCACATTTAGATACTTCACACAATCATTATAGTAGTTATTGCACCACATTCAAAAAGTATTCTGTACATCACTTTTCTATGTGTTGTTTTGTTGTAATAATTTATTTAATTAATGATCTTCTACAAATTTCTACAAACTATAGCCCATTATGACAACATGAATATCTTTGTAAATTTATTGAAAATTACAAATAAACATGGAGCACTAGCATAACATTTTTTCAAGTTAAATGTCATAGTTATATAGTTTAACAAAAGTTAATAACAATTAGGCCTACCTTCAAAACTCATGTATTAAACTGTAACAATCAGTAAGCAAGAGAATCCTAATATGACTTTTTTTAGGTCTAGCAATATCATAATTAAACAATCTGCACATAAACACTACAATTTAGACATTACCAGCTTGCAGAAAACTAATAATATAAGGTCATTCTGCCATATCAGAATATATATAAGGTCATATATCCTGATATATCAGTTGCAGTGAGTAGGTATAAAGCTCTCTATAAGATCAGGGCTCTCAAGATACAGTTAAACAGAAGTTCCTACATGGATGAAGTGCACAGGTGCTTGTCTAGAATTAGTATATCTTTAAGTTGATTTATCAAACTAAATTTATGAAAAAAAAGTTAAACTTGTATAACAAGTATACACTCAATATACACTCATTCCACACATACTGATATATTTCAAGTGTTTATTTCTTTTAATTTTGATGACAACTAATGATACCCTTAAATTCAATATCTCAAAAAATGTGAATATGGTGAAAAGGTTCAGTAGACACCTGGTGCCATACTCTAATCAGCTAATTAACTCAAAACACCTGTAAAAGCCTTTAAATGGTCTCTCAGTCTAGTTAAGGATAACTGCACTCAGGAGAGAACAAAACCCATTCAAATGTGGGAGAGATTCACAAAGAATGGACTACAGCTGGAGTCAGTGCTTCAAGAACCACTTTGCACAGATGTATAAATGCCAGACATTTATATGGTTTTAAATGTCATGTTTCTTATGTCAAGCCACTCTTGAACAACAGACAGCATCAGAAGCATATTGGGCTAAAGATTGGACTGCTTCTGAGTGATCTAAAGTTATGTTCTCTGATGAAAAAAAAAATAGGGTCACAGTCTAGAGAAGAGGAGAGGCACATAATCCATGTTGCTTAAGGTACAGTGTAAAGTTTCCATAGTCAGTAATGATTTGGAGTGCTATGTTACCTGCATGTGTTGCTCCACTGTGTTTTCTGAGGTCCAAGGCCAACACAACTCTATACCACAACATTTTAGAGCACTTCATGCTTCCTGCTGCTGACCAAATTTATGGAGATAGAGGTTTCATTTTCCAACATGACTTGGCACCTGCACACAGTGCCAAAGCTACCAGTACCTGGTTTAGCGACCACATTATATCTGTTCTTAAGTGGCCAGCAAACTCACCTGTCATTAACCCCATAGAAAATCTATGAGGTATTGTGAAGAAGAAAATGCGACATGCCAGACCCAACAGTGCAGAAGAGGTGGAGGCCACTATCAGAGCAACTGTTGGAATAATCTCTCAATTGCATGCGTGTTCAATAAATAAGGTAAGGAGAGGTTTTTCTTCAATGTCAAAAATCGTAACTATTTATTGGATACAAATGAATAATTCGATTCATAGAATTCTGTTATCCTCAATGCAAAGTTTACATTAAGGAGGTGCACAACAACTTTCATTTCTTCAACTTAAATAGGCAACTGATATTAACAGGTGGAATTTTATTCACAACAATAAAAGCTTAAGGCTTTCTGTGTTCAGTTTTAACACCTTTTTTCTGACAGGAAGTTTCTGCAGAGCTGAATTAAATTTTTGACCAGCATTTATCTACTTCTGCAAAATGCTAAGTAGTATGCACAGCATGCCACACACAACAGTAGAAAGCTGTGGTCACACTGGGCTTTTCCTCCCATAGACTTCTATTCATATGCACACGAATGGGTCAGACTGGAAACGCAGGGTCATGCGTCAAGTTTCGCAAGTTGCTGCGGTGCAAAGTTCAAGCTTGGTGAACTCTGACCTGCTAAATCGCATCACTAGACTGCGTGAGACCAATCGAGGATCAAAACATGACCTCTCGGGACAGAAAAAAAAATGGAGCATACTTTTTACGTATACATTTATACTTTATACTCATACCATCTTTATACTTTTTACTTGGCCAATATTTCTTAAAAATCCTTTCTTTGTATTGGGTTTTAAGTTATATTAAAGTATTCTGATCAACTGAAAATAATCATTCAAATTTATCAATCTGTGTGGAATGAATGTATACATTCTTTAAGTTTCACTTCTTAAAGATATTCTAATAAGACCAGCACATGTATTTTAATGACACCAATTGACAACGAATCATTGACATGATGACATGTCAGTTAATCGGTTAAATAATTTGCTTATCAGTTTACCCTGTTGTCAGTATGTTCCAGGCTGATGAGACGGGGTCAAGGCGATGGAGGACAATGGTCATATTGGCTCCAGGAACTCCTTGGGCTATATTGAGCACATGAGTCGAAAGCGGACTTGGCAGAGTAGCAGACATGTTTATGTGCTGTAGAAGAATATAACAACAGTAACTAACTGATGGTAAAGTATAAACAATTTTGAAATGAATGTAAATTATCATATGCATTTGTTTCCATTACAGAACATGTCTTTTTCACCGAGAAGGTTCATACAGATTCCAAAGGCAGATGCTGATAAGATCAGGAATGTGTGTGTACCTTAGGGGTTTTACGATGTGGTCACACAATGATTGGTCAGTTTGTATGTCTCAGTATTTGGGCTTTGCTCACATGGTCAAGGAAGATACAAAATAGGTGGTAAACTTATCTCTACTCTTTTCCTGCTCTGGCTCTTTTGCTGTTCTGTTCTTTCCTGATTTGGAGCCTTTCTTCACTGGTTACTGCCATCTTACTCTGTCTTTGGGCCTTTCTTTCTGCTCATCGTCTCACTCTCGGGTAACTTAGTTCAAGTCATTGTCATTAAATCATTTCATTTTTAAGTATCTGTGAATTATTTTTGATTTAAAATTAACACTTTATTGCTCCATATTGGGTGACATGGTGGGGCAGTGGGTAGCACAATTGGCTCACAGCAAGAAGGTTGCTGGTTTGAGCCTCAACTGTGTCGTTTGCATGTTTCCCCCGTGTTTGCTAGGGTTTTGTCGTCAAGTACAAAGATATGCGGTGAATTAGGTAAGCCAATATTGTTGGTAGTGTATGTGTTGATGGGAGTGTATGGATGTTTCCCAGTAAGGGGTTGGGGCTAGATAGGCATCTGCTGCGTAAAACATGTTTGATAAGTTGATGGTTTCACTGTAGTGACCCCAGATGAATAAAGGGATTAAGCTAGAAAAAGAAAACAATGAGCTAATTCTCCATATTGCAATACAATACAATTACATAATACCACCACTTTTCCACATTTTTAGCTATTATAACTGCCCTTTTTTCATTTTTGGAGTAAGATTGCAGAAGGTGGAAGATGGTTAGACTACAAATGTACAGGTTTTCACCATCATGATAACTTTTTGTAATTCGTCAAAACTACATTTCGAAAACTACGTTCTTACAACAATGATCTGAAGTTTAGCAATAGTAATCCAATCTTTGCTTATATTGTTAATTCTAATCAAAATGAACAGCTTTAGCTTTTTAATATGAACCAATGGTCTCAAACTAAATTCCAGAAGGGTCACAGCTATGGACAATTAAGTGCTCAGGTGGGATGTTTTTTCACAGAATTCAAAAGAGTTTAACAATCTTGATGAACTTTGTGGTTCTTGTCTATCAAATCTGAGCTTTGTTTTGAAATTTTCATTGGATTTAAGTCGGGTGATTTACTGGGCCATTCTACAGCTTGATTTTCTTTCTCTGAAACCTCTTGAAAGTTTCTTGGCTGTGTTTTGTTTCATTGTTTTGATGAAATTTAAATCCTGGTTTCTTCATCATCCTTCTAATGTGAATGTTGGACTGAAGCAGATAGTCAAGGCTTGGCATTAGCCTAGTAGCAAGCAGTTTTTCAACATTATTGTTGTTCTTGTCCTTTTGTATGATCTTGTTCAATGAGCATAAGCAAATGGGTTGTGGCTTCAAAGTGTTGCATTGCAATTAGATTTTATTTCACATGACTTTTCAGGGCTCGACACTAAGGATTTACCGTATTCTATCAAAGATTCAGTGAATGATACAACCTCAGCAGTCATTGCCCAGTAAACATTTTTATGTTTTTTTGACCCTTGAAAAAACACCCGTCTGGCACTTCTTGTCATGGTTAATAAAATATCCAAAATTAAAGTTTAATAACAGTTGAAAATTTTCTTTATTGTTATCTGGATGAATCCCAGCTTATAATCAATTATTATTTTGGCCATGGAGACAATGTGGTTATGGGACCAATGATTGCAATGAAAATCAATGCAATTTGAAAAAACTAAATCTGTAAATGAACCGTTTCCATATTTTGTGTTTTCCGTTTATTTACTGTTGTGAATTCCATTATGGGAACTTCATCTTTGCTTTTTTGACTTTTGCTATTGAAAACTCAACTTTACAGTTTAAAAGTGACTTATTGACATTTTAGTCATTTCAAATAATGTGTAAGCAATCATACACAGAGAACATTTACCTATTTAGAGAATATATAGAGAAAAGTCCTCTAAAATAACAGAAAATGTACTGGAATTTATTACAAGTTTTTGTACCATAATATACAACACAAACCCACACATTATACCAATTTAAACTATTAAAAATGTTAATAAAAGGTTCAATGTTGTTGAAAAAAAAAAACAAGGTCTCAATGCAATTCATAACGAGGAAGAATATAAACAAATTATTTTTTGCATTTCAAAAAAGTTACCTTACCTTATCTGCTGAAACAATATGACCTCTGATATGTTGAAGTCTGTTCATCTAAAATGCAATTAAATTGATAAGCTGGAGCAGGAGCAGAAGCAGTGTAGTGTGAGAGCACAAATGAGCCACTACCCAGTTGTGCCTGTGTCTTGTGACAAGAAAATGTAATTGGTTCGATACAGATACCTCAGAGTACAAATTCTTGTTTGGTTACATAGTTTAGCGCCAGACAGTGACCTCTGTGTTATTTGCCTTGAATTGATATTGTGACTATGCAACCAAACAAGAATTTGTACTCTGAGGTTTCTGTATCGAACCAATTACATTTTCTTGTCACAAGACACATGCACAACTGGGTAGTGGCTATGATCACCAATTCCTCTAGGGTCAAACACCATCTCTTTTGTCTTACTGACATTCAAATCTCAAAGATTGTCGTCGCACCAACTCGCAAATCTTCCAATCTCTGAAAAATATTTAGATAAATCTCTATTCTTATTCAACAACCCTAAGATGACAGTATTGTCTGAAAATTTAACAATGTAATTATTAGAATAAGAACATCTACATGAATCTGTATACAGAGTGAACAAAACAGGTGAGCTAACGCAGCCCTGTGGAGCTTCCATACTCAGAAATTTTTGGCTCAGAAATTGTACCATTTACACTAACCTGCTGCCTTTGATCAGTTAGAAAAAAGTAATACCTTTTAATTAATAATGGATGAACTTTAAATTCATTCAATTTTTTAATTAAAAGATGTGGCTGCAACATGTTAAAAGCTGAACTAAAATCAACAAATAAAAGTCGCGCATATGAGTTTGGATCCTCTAAATGTTTATTAATATGATGAGTCACTGCTATCATTGCATCATCTGTCCCCCTGTTGCTCCTATATGCAAATTGAAAGGAGCAAGAGCCTCTTTACTTCTCTGTCCTTGGATGATCACATGCTCTCATGTTATTTTATTTAACGGTGTTATGTAAGCATTATCTAAATATTATATTTTTTTTATACACTGCATAGATTGTCATATTTTTTTTCAGTATTTTGTGCTCAAACAAAAATAAACTGAACACTTATGACAGCAGAATTCCATTTAAAACAGGATTTACCTTAAACTCTTGATGGTACATATACAGGACACATGAAACCCAGCTAGATGTAGATTTAGCAGACAGTCAAAGCTAGCACCAGCACCTCTCATACACAGAACGCATTTGCACACATATTGACAAAACACTCTATCGGCAAATTATAAACATTAGTTATAAGGGAGTACTGACGAGATAGCATTACCTGAAAAAAGCAAAAGCAAAAATAAGACCTGTTTAATAGGATTTAAGACCTAGATTAGGTATCATTAGAATTGTATCAATTCAGATTCCAGGTTGATTTCACTTATCGATTAAAATTTTTATCGATTCCCAGTTTCGATTACCTCGACCCATTCTGGGTCTTCAATCGTTAAATCAGGCATTACTATGTATTTCTAAGTTGAGATTGAAAGGCAGATGTGACCAGGCTTTCATAGTAGCTGGTCCTAAATTGTGAAATAAGCTATTTTCATTGGCATTTTATGTTTTTAACAGAAGTAATTGCTTTTTTTTTGACTGCAGCATATTGGTCAACCCTTGGTCGTGCTTAATGGTGATAAAACTGACATGTACAAAAGTGCTGGACAAGTGTGCTTAGGAGTGTCAAGACAATCAGACCTCCTTAGATTTTAAAATTGCTCTCCATATAAACAATGCTGAATTATTCCAGTTTATACTTTTATCATTATCTAAAGCTTTAACAGTCAGCATGAATTTCACTTAACATCCAGGAGCATTTAGTCTCCTTGAGGGGGAAAAAATGCTAGAAGCATATACTTATAACTATCACTATTTTTAATGGATGTTATTTAGATTTATGTTGATTTTTAATGTTTAAGTGATATGCATCATTTATACTTCATATACAAGCCATAAAAATCTTAACACACCAGAGTGCCTTTAAAATTCTGAAATTAACAGTTAGTTATATTATATCAAAAACCAATTGTATTTCATAATAATTATGGCAGTATTAAGAAGCAGAACCCAAATACATGTCTTGTGAAAGAAGATTTATATTTTGACAAACAAAAAAGTACATACAAAGGTTTCATATATAAAATACAGTACAATCTGGTTTAACTTACTAAATTATGAAAAATCATCAAAAACAATTATAAAAAGGGTTTTAAAATGAACTCTGATGATCAGTAGTACTTAAAAGTTAATACAAATGTAATAATCTATATTTATTACTGGATATGTAAGAAATATTCTCTTGTGTTGTTGGAAGTGTTAGAAGATGGTCTAAAGCCTCAATAATTTCTTTTGTAGAAATTCACCAAACAACAACAACAACAACAGAAAAGAAACACAATATAGGGTGATCTATGAAGTATTTGAGCTGTCACTCTTCAGTATGGCTCTGATTTTAAACTCCTGTATAGGCAGCAGGTGAAAAACATGCCAACAATCTGAAAAGATATTAGAGAAAAGAAAACAAGTATTAAGATATTAAAATAAAAAAGCATTAAATTAAAACCAATTCATTCAGTAACATATATGATGATTTATGATCCTTGATTTAACACATCACTCATATTTACAAGTCAGTATATATTCATATCAACCATGTATTTGTCAGACATAAATTTATCGGATTATGTTCCATCTCGTTTTTGCCCCAAATGTTAAAGTGGGCACAAAGACCACAAGCATTTTTATAAATCGTGGATACACATTACACCATGATTTTGTAAAAAACCTTTTTTATTTATTTTTTTATATTGAGTGTTAGACATAAAATCAGCTATAGTCAGATTATAAAGCTAGATTTTGTATAGTGTCATTAGCATAGCAATGAAAAAAATTTAGTTTAGGAAATATGTGAAAATAGAAAAGATAAAGTCTAAGTACTGTCATGAAGCATGGTGAGGTAAAGACAACTTGCTAAAGCAGTCTGGACTCTCGTCTAGAACTAGAGAGAATTTAATCTGGACCCACCATTTCATATTTCAAAAGCACTAATTGTATGTAAGGTATATAAAGTGAGGTTTTATTACATTGAAAAATGCGTGTTAAACTTCTGATGGTCTGAAATGAAACCAAAAGGTGATAGTTTTCCTAATTGATCTATTAGCCTAGATGCATAAATAGTACTGCAGTACAGTCTCAGATCAATGTCCACTTCTGACGTCAGACTGGTAGCTATAAAGGAGGCTGTTCTTATGCGAAAGGTTGCTGAAAAACAACCTGCTAAAGCGCTTTTAAATGAAAGTCTATTTAATCTTAATTGCTGTGGGAAAGGTACCCAGTGAGGACTAGTGTTAATCAACAGCATCTATTTTTCAAAAATCGACTAGGGCTGTGCAATCAATCCAGTTTCTGCATAATCAACCATCAGTTTTGAAGAGGGCCAGTTTTAACCCCTATAAGGGTGACCAGATGTACCAATTTTTAAGTTGTATCTGATTTTATTGAAGTGTATTCGATTTATTCACATTCTTAAAAGTCCACGCAAGAACTGGTCCTATTCTGTGTATACGCTTCTGAGATCTATTAAAATACATCGTAGTCTTTGGAGGTCAGATTTGGCAGCTGAGCTGAACCAGACAGTTTGTTGCAGTTTATTAGTTGCAGTTAAATTAGTATTGAATTATATTTTAAGTAATAAGACTACTTGATTACTTTAATATGTGTTATTGATGTTAACCTTCACAATTTATGTTGCGTGACTCACAGGGCACAGCCTCATCGATTGCATGTACTTTAGGTCAAATTCTAACCTTATCTAGACCTGACAAGCTGCAGCGTCATCAAGGGAAATCTCTAGCCAAAACACAGACTGATATGTTGCATTGTGATTGTTGATATGCATGTGTTTGATAAGCCACAACATTTCTAGCGAGACATCAATGATCATTTTCTTTAGTTATTTTTAAGTTTATAATTACCTTGCTGTGTATGTGGGACTTTTATTTTGACAACGGGAAACAAATAGTTTATTATGCATTACTGAGCACCAACTGCATGCAAGAGTCTTCTCATCAAGCATGTTCAAAAGGCCATCAGGACACAAAATGCAGGATTTACAGATTATACATTTATTCAGTGCCAACCCTAAGAGGCATAAGGTACGTCTAACTGTACCTTTAGCTAATTTATCGTTTTTATTGTGACGGTT